TGTAATCAATCGTTTTCACGATTAAAACTTTACGTTTTTTTCTATTCGTTTTTGTTTCGATATTTTTTTTTTTTTTTGTAAATTTTTATTATTAAATTACCACTTCGTCGTTCAAAATCGATTTCCCCCCCCCGTAAAAGACACAAATAACATCAAACTTACACTTTTGATCGAACTTACTCGTTCATGTCATGATGAAATCTAATAATTATCGTTACCATAGCCTATATAAGAAGGAAAGGTTTTAATATGCTGTATGATCATCTGGTATGATTTCAAATCTGTTTCGTCTCTATCGTATTTATGAAATATTTATTTATGAGATCTGATATTGGTGATATTTGTGATATTTGTGATTAGGTTTAAATTCCACACTTCACATCACTGCTGAAATAAATCAAGATGATTTTTAAGTTTCACTATCTATGCGACCGAAGTGAATGTCTGAGAGTGAACGAGCGAATGTGGATCCCCTGGAGTTCAACAAAGTAAATAAAATAATGACGGCCACCATCATGATCATCATCTTTACACTTCTTGGCGCCCATTTTTATTATGCGGTAATGGTTGCGATGGTGGTCGTTGCATTTTGATGGTGGAAAGTTTTATGAAGCCAGCGATTATCCTGTTTCGGGCAAGTGGAAGACTCCAAGTATTTGGGAATAACCCCGATCTGTAAATGTTTTCGTCCCTTTGCTTTCATCCTAATCCACTTTCGGCCATCAATTTTTTATATATTTTCGATTGTCCATTCGGTACTTACACTATAATTTATAATTTCATAATTCGTTATACCATCAAACAATTTCAAACAATTTCAAACAATTTCAAACAATTTCAAACTTTTCAAGATTTCAAATTAGATTATTTCTCCAGAATTACTCGGACATTACACTCTTTTGTTCATCTTCTGTCAAAAAAAAAAAACCATTATATGCTTTATGCTCCTTTTTTATTTTTTTAATTATTTTTATTTCAAAATTTCAAAAAATTTTAAAAAAATGTTTCTTCGAATCAAATTCGTGTTCTCTTTTTTTTTCTTTTTTTTTCTTTTTTTTTTACACGCTTTTTTCTTTTAAAATGTCGTAATTTATGCAGAATTATAAGAAAGAATCTTCGTTAATAAAGACAAGTAAAGAAATTTTTTTTAAAAAAAATACATATAAGGATAACGCGTAAAAATTAATACACGAATTGCGTCACGTCGTTTGCGTTATGTTTTTCGCGACATTGTTTGATAGAACATCTCACTACCTGTGACCTATTAGAGAGTATATATTAAAAAATATGTAATATATATTAAGATATAGATTATTCCATTAATTTAATAAATGAATCTAATTTAGTATCTAATTTAGTATCATTATTTTTAATTTAAATTAATTTATTCGTTTATCCAACAAATGTACAACCTCAATTTGAATCAAAACAGAAGTTAATATTAGATGAAATTAAGTGCATTTATGTGCAAATCTTAATAACACGAATATTTATGTAAGCTACCAATTATCGTTACTCATACTTTCCGCCCAAGCTTAATCAGCACTTTATTTATCAATATATATTTTTTATTTTAAAAATACTTTGGTTTTAATTGAAGTACGTGCGAAAGTACCAACATTTTCACGTTCAACCTTAGTTATTATGCATACCAAATATGATACCAAATATGATACCAAGTATGTCACAAGATCATTTATTTATTAAAAATTAATGTTAAAAAAAAAAAAAAAAATTGATAATTCACCTTTTTATCGTCAGTTGATTAATTTCATATGTACGTAAGTTGCATGTAATTAATATGCATCTTTTGATCTTAAATCAACAAGAGACCGGAAAATATATTCAATCGCAAATAAACAACACAGTTCAATTCAATAAAAACTTCTAATTTGTCTTTTTTTTTTAATCAAATTTGAATTAGTGATTAAATTAAATAATAACTATATATAGTTATCAAATTGATGGCTGTAAATCAGGTATAGCAATAGTTAAAGAATTATATCAATAAAAATTATTGTTTTTCAAGTTTAACACTCGCTTGTAATTTTAATCGTATGATTCTTTAGCAGAATGTGTTATTCACAAACTTCTGAAAGGGGTGGGAATCTGTTATTAAATTTTCATAAATTTTCACAAAGAAAACTCAATTTAATACATATTAAAAGACAATTTACCTATAATTCAATGTTTATCAATGGATATGTAATCTGCACGGTATGATATAAATAAATATAAAATTATTTTATTTCACAATTTTGGCCGGATTTATAGTTCATTGGTTTTTATATTTATTAGACTGTGCAGATCTGTCTAATTCAAATATGATAAATATGATAAAATATGATAGCAGAATGACTCGAGTTATTTTTTAATGATATCAAATAACTTGCTCGCACCCCCTTGAATGTGTGCAAGATCAAGTACAACGTAACAAGGTCAAGAAAATTCAAAACAAACATTCGTTTTGTCAAAAATCGCTTATTTCTCGAAATCCTACATAAGAAACTACTTTTGGTGCTCTAATAAAACGTTTTTGTTTGGAATTTTTACTATATAAATTACCTTCTAACCCGTAACCCTAACTTTAACATAAATAAACATTAAACAATTTTTGCTGCGCCACAATCTAGCTCACATTAAGTAATGCGTTTGGATGATGACGCAATCATAAAACCTATTCTGTTGGTACAATAACTTGTTTATCTGGATGCATTATTTCTGAGATATGTAGAATGTTTAGATAGATTTAAGTCGTCAAAATTTCAGCGAATAGCAATATTAACGTTAAGGAATTAAAAACTTTACATCTGGGCTAGGAGGGACCAAATTGACAATTTTTTCAAAAGTAATTTTTTTACATAAATCAATTTAGAATAATATCAGGATCATTTTTT